GACCAACGAAGTATACGTTGGCGTCCTTGGGAGCAGAAGAATTGAAGAGTGAGTGAGCCATGACATCAAAATCGCCCAACACCATCGACCATACGCGGAATTGTTTTTTGGGCAATTCTTTCCAACATCCGTCTGCCAAGCCACAGTGATGAGCAATTCTCGCATGTCCAAGGACAACTCTTCACTGGTCTGATCCCAAACATCGATGTCCTGCACAAAACATGGCAACGTTCGATGCCCTGCCCTTCTGGGGTCTCGGTCTCATCTCGGCAGCTTTGAATTGGCAACACAGCAACACGCGATGACTGGCTTATTCAGGCGATCTGGTCTTAAAACTAAGAGACCCCCCAAAGCCCCAGGCCTCGATTTTTACTTGATGTGACCTGTTGCCAGTGGGTTGTGGAGCATTTCTGCAAGACACAATCCTGCTTTCCAAAAGTGCGGCCTCTAAACTAATCCTGTCCACCCTTTTAAAAAACACGCCCCCCCTATTATTAAGAGAAACTCGGTCGCATTTATATAATAGGGGGTCCCTGAAATCGGTGGGTCCAAAATAGGGTCACCTGGGAAGAGCTTCAAAAAAAAGTCACCCAAACAAATCTTATATAACATCCTTTATTAAGCTCGTATCAAAAAATCAAAAAACCTCCAGATCGAAGGGTCTTGAGTCTTCCTTCTCCCCTACAAAAAACTTTATTAGAATACTGATTCTTCATTAGACTAACAACTAAAGCTTTCCAAAGGTGATGTCGCTGTGCCATGCGGTTTTGCGCGACCTCGGTGGCAAGTGCGTTTGTGTGAGTCCGTGCCATTGGGGGAAGGAAAACCTGCTGGTGTAAATGCGGCGTGTCATGGTGGATACACAGGGCGGACAGGGGTGGGCAGTTACGGTTGTTTTTGGAACCTAATAAAAAATACTACCCCCAAAATCGACCATGTTGGTAGTTTAGTAGCGGTTTGAAAGGGCTAAGGGCGGCAATATATAAAAATACAAACCGAGTTTCGGACGTGGCGTTTTTTTTTAATTGGGGAGGATTTATAAATAAGTACTCGGGATTAATCTGGAGGTTGCCTTTTGCTAGCCCTTGAAGATTCAGGGACTGGAGGCCCAGCGGCGGCAATGCTTGTTCTATTGAAATTTGTTATCAAACCGACAGGCGTCTCCTCTCGATTCACTTCATGCTGCTCGGCTTTCCTGCGAAGGCGGAGCCAACATGCCCAGGTTTGGGATCTTGCCAACCTGGGTAACCTGACAGATTTTAGTCTTTGATCTTATAGTCTTTCAAGGAGACCTATTGAGCTCTATAATGACGTGATATGGACCGTATATGCCTGTGTATGGGTTGCATCAAATGTTCATCGCCAAAACCTATGGGCGACCCACACTGTTTGATATCACTCTGAAAGCTGCCGTCGCCCAGCTGACCGTGCCCTGAGACAGAATTCGCAGCGCACAGGTTGCACAGGTCGTTCCGTATGTTCTGTTTTTCCCAACCCAGGCATCCAAAAGCTAGTTAGAAAAAAGCCATGCGCATCCTGTAGGGTATTGTAGGATGTCATCTAACTGGGGCCGTGAAATCATCATGATGGTTTTGGAGAATGAACATCTTGAGGTTTTCTGGTTTGTCTCTGTGCGCAGGCTGTGTCTTTGACGACACGACGACGTGGGTTCGTCCGGTGTGTGCAGAAACGGAGTTCCGGGAATTTTCCTGGAGGGATCTGGGATCGAACATATGGCATCACAATTAATGTTTGATATGTCAACATCGTGGAAACGCATGGCAGTCAAAGACCAAAACATCAGGCAGATTCATTATAAACTCACTCTGCAGCAATATGGGTCGCCTCCCCCACCGTTGACCGCTTTGGTTCCAAGTGTCAGTCTCTGGGGGTGGTCAACCAATCGGAAGCCGTTGTCTACGTCGTTCGCTCCATCTGTGGAGATTCCACAGAGAAAGTCAAATCTGCGATAGCTGGTTGAGAATGGTTCATCTTCAAGATCTCCAAAGTCAAGTGAAAACGCCAGAGATTCTGGAAGCAAGAAGCCCACTGTCGTGCCTCATCAAGCGGCTCTCACTTCTCATGTAGCCTCACTCGTGCGCGGCTGGAGCTAGAGGTTTCGGTACTTTTCCGCACGGCCCCGGGATACGCCACGAAGGTATGGGTTCGCGACATCGGGTACCATCCACCCCAATGATCAGTCGTTTTGAGCGCATATCAGTCGATAAGACAAAAAAAGGCGGATGAACTTCCAGGGCCTCTTGAGGTTGAAGTTCCGATGTCATTCCAGGGCCGTTCCAATATAATTACTTAATTAATCCAGATTCCAGATGTCCAAACACCGAGGCCTTGGAACTCATCTTCGTGGTTTCTGCTGAACATGGCGGAGGGTCAAAACCCTCCAAGGGCTCACGAAATAGGTCTCCACTACTGAAATGAACAGGTTTCAAGGAGCGGTTTGGAACAAGGAAACCTGGCAACTAACCACCGCAGCCAACATGAATCTCCTCAAAGACTCAAGGATCCCTTTGTTTACAGCGGGACAATACGGTCCATGAGGTTCTGCCTTGCTCTCACTCACCTATATTAACGGGAACTATCAGTCAACCACGGTCTGTGAAGAAATATACTACTGGACATCAGAAACAGCACGTTTGCCCAAATTTGTGTAGCCAGCGAGCCTCCAACGAACAGGAGGCATGTGTGGCTGAGTCCTGAAGGAAACACGTGCCTTTTGATTTTCGGTCCAACAAAATCTGTGGAGCCTGGAGTTTCCCACCATCAACATGACGATGGGCTGATGGGTTTGTCCATGTCATGAGACAAAAGACGCCACACCAAAAGGTTTAATCACTTTTGCCGCCACCTATTGAGGGACGATTTTACATGCACCATGCATCAGTTCAATTGAAACTGACAGGCTGACTGACAGGCTGCCATCCCGAAGTGCATGGTGAAGGGGCGGCACCCTCGGCTTGAAACCGATGAAGTGGAGCGAGCAGCTCCCTGCCCCAAAAGTGATCAGTCCTACAAGAAGAACTCCGAGCACTGCACCTGAACAGCATGTGCCTTCTTGGACAGCTTAGGGCATGGTGCACAAGAGATAGCCCGTTTCCAAACCAAAATTTGGCAGGTTCAAATGAATGTCAAGGTGTGTCACAGCACTTTTGTAATCTTTTGTACCTCTTCAATTTCTACAGAACATGTATCTCTCCAGAGTCGTCCCAGTCAGTAAGACTGTCTGCGTCCCTTAAAAACATTTAAAAACAATTTCAGTTCTTCACCTGCGAAGGGACCGCGTCATCAACCGCGACATGGGACTTTAGACTTGGAGGCTCCAAATTGGATTCTCTCTGTTTGCTCCTATTTTCAGGCTGACGAGTTAATCACCAAAAGATTTAATTGTTTTCATAAATCCTTTCATGGATCATTTTTGGCTTAGGAGTTGGTTTACAAGATGGCTTTCGGAAGATTTCTTAAACGTAATGGAAAACATCTTAATCTCTTGGCGTGGCCGTCTCGCGGCTTCGTGGCTTCGACGCGTGGCTTTTACCAGAATGCCGGGCTTTATGAAAGGTACTTAAAAAAGCAAGTTTTAGTCTACCAAACGGCCTCTTAAAGCATATCGGTCTACAGGAAAACATGCTAAACCCAAATTATGTATGAAAGCTTCAAAGGATTTCTATATAAGCAAAATCAGTTCTACCAAAAGGCTTCTTCAAGCAAATAGGTCTCAATGTGGTCTATGGAGTCTTCTCAAAGGTAGCTGCTGTGATCAACCAAGCACATCAACTTCCCTCCATGAGTAGCAGCTGGGGATGCAATCCCAACAAGCGACACCTTTTGCAGCTCCTTCCCAGAACTTCCAAACAGCCTCATGGACATACCCACAAGGGCCACTTGAGAACAGGAAGAAAAGGAACTCAAACACGGATTCTTGAGTCATAATTATCAGAACATGTACAGCAGTAACCTCTGCGACAATAGGTAGAGGTAGTAGGCTGCGCCTCGACTTGCCATGTTCTCTCGGCGGATCGTCACCTCTGCGACGGCGTCACGGCGACGCCGTCAAGCTGAAGGACGCACACGGCGGTGCATGGGCCGACCGTGCGGTGGGTGTTTTCTGTGCATAGGACCTATATACAGTATAACTCCTGACTCAAATCCATTCAAACGTCAATTGCAACTTTGGCACACCCCCATCTTACCACTTGGGATGTGAGCCAGGCGATCTCTTCATTGAAATCAACATCTGATACCCTCGGCCGACACTGAAGTCTTAGGTATTTCTGGGGCTGGAATAAGAACCGGCACCGATCATCGTCAAACTATATATATTTTTTTTTGAGGAAGCTCTTTTTGTGGAGAGCTAGCAGCTAGCAAAAAAAGGCCCCAAGCATAGAGCAGAACAAATCAACATCACATTCATCCTAATCCCATTGTATCGGTTCCTACGGCTTCCCATGTGCATACCTGCCAGGGTCTTTCCCTGAGGCTTCCGCCATGGCCCGGACCGAAAGTGTGGATGGCGTTCCCTGATGGGTTTGTACCTTCAACAACTCATGACAATGTGCAGCAAACGACTTGACTTGACAATTTCATGAGCTTCTGTCATCTGTTGATTATATAATTGAAAATTCAAAGAACTGATGCGGATAATACAACATTGTGGCGGCCTGCAAATGTTTGTCTAAAGTTACAGCCAACATGTGACGTGATTTGTAATTGCATCCATCCGAGCAAGCCAAATAAACAATTAATTGGAAAATTTATCAATCTTGACTCTGGGCAACCCTCTGATGGAAAGCACTGCATGAGACGATCGCTTGTTCACTTTGGCGATCTTCTCTTGAACCACACCGCGGAGGTCCAAACAAGGAAAAGAAGGCACCAACTGCTTGGGCAAATCGCACATGAAAACAACACAATGGTGTCAATAGTGCACCAAAAGCTGCAGCCTTCACCAAATTCCACACCAGTATTGGCGTCAAAAATCCGTCCTCTCTTGCTCCTCTTCTGATCCTTCGTCAGGGATCTCAAAGGACTGAACCTTGGAACATTCACATCATCTTTTCGGACGAAAAAGAACACCACGGGAGGACCTAAGTGCCGTTGTGCCGTTGTGCTGCCTAACTCTTGTGCAGCCCCTTCAACCTGTGGGACTTAGAAGGCGGCATCTTCCAGTAGTAGCACAAACCCTGCTGGGGGCTCCTGGCCTTACTATTATGAACAAGAACGCTAGTAGTAAGCTGGTCTTCAACACCCACATTGGGCCTAGAAGACTCCATGACCTCCTAGTCCGACGATATGGGATGTCCTGCGTGTCCCATTGGATTGAAGCACCTTGAATCTAGAATGCCACAAAGCCCATAACATAATATCAATTTACATTGTAGAAACACTGAAGAACACTACACACATGTTGAGGATATGTTCACTTACTGCAGATTTCGATAGGGGTGCCGACGCTAAAGCCACCCTATCACTCAAAGCACCCCTTGACTAGTTCACTTCTGAATTGACCTGCAGCACCAATGACTGTAATTGCAAAATCTGAACCAGTTGAATACTAGTTGAACTAAAGAATCAGTCCATATCAGGCTCTGAAAACCAGGGTCCATGTTTGAAGGACATTGAAGCGAATCTATGGTGCGTCCTCACATTCCACTCCCTGATCTTCTGAGTTTCCAGCCAAAGAGGTTGTACTGAGCACTGGTGTTGGCAGGTAGGCAAGTAATGACAAATAGAAATCGAATCCATGCAACACAAGTGCTGAGTGGATTACCAAATCATCCTTCGATCCTGCAAAGCATCTCGCATCTCCTTTCAATACCAATTGAAAGTGGAACCCGGGTTCTGTTGCAAACACCCCTATAGCGAGAAAGTACCTCCAAAGCCTCCGCGCCTTTGTACCGAACCGCTCGTGCGATTGGGCCCGGTGACCGTCGAGAGGGAGTCCAAGGACTTCTCCGATCGCCTCGGGAACGCACCGTCGTCGGTCTGGTTGGGTTCCTATCCCGTTAGATGCGCTATCTTTTTAGGGTCGGATGATGTTGTATGTCCAGAGTGATTGAGTCCTGCGAACAAGTGTGTATAAGTGTGTATATAATATCTATATATAGTTTGTATAAAAAATAATACAATACAAAAAAAACATATATATATATAT